TTATGTATTTTTTAAATAAAAAAAAAATTTTGAATTTACTTACTTGTAGCCAGAGTTAGAGGCAGTCGGATACTTATGACCGCTACTGTAATCTTCTTCGATCGTGCAATAGAATACTTAACAGCTGAAGTAGCAAGATGGATTTCTGATACATATCTCCCATGTCGAGCTCCGTATATTGCATCAACCGCAATGACAATTTTGAAGAGTTTTTTGTGACTCAGGTCATCAATCTCTCGACTATTTTGAATCAGCATTTCGATAAATTTAACAATGACTTGATTACACTTATTGAGCTATTCATAAGGAGAATATACTGTAAGACTTTCTACTGTAAACCTACTGTTATCTCTAATCAATGATTCTATGTCATTGAATAATGCCTCACATTCTGCCTTCGCTATCTCAATAATTGCATTAATGCGTTTTTACTAATTATCAAATCGTGAATCCCATCGTTTGACAAGATCATCGTTCTTTTTACATTGTTTCTCATATAAACTTTGAGTCTTAATTGCATAATCATGAGCCCTTTGTATTTTTTATCTTAACTTCTCTATTTCGTTTTTTTGATCTTCTAAATGCTTTGTATACATACGATTTGATTGTTGAGCTCAATTATTAATTATGACTTTTGCTGAATATTCTGCTGACTAGCTTCTAGAAGACTCTTAGTCTTTTCAAACTTGACTATAATATTGGGATGATCAATACTACTATCTTCATCAGTATCTAATCGGAGCCACTAGTTTTCTTAATTAGAATCTGTAAGATAATTATAAAATTGATTAGTAGAAATGATTTGATTATAATGCCTTTCACAAATCAAATAATACTTTAAAGAAGAATGAAAGTCAGCAAGCTCAGGAATATAATTATAGTATTGTGCAAGCCACTTAGCTGCTTCCTAGGTACTAGCATACCGCCAGACTTGTGATTCCTTCATTTCACAGGTTTTTAATTCAATTATATGATAATTATCAACTAAAGTTACGAAAATACATGAAAAGTCTCTTGCTTTTAGCCTTTGATAAGCAGACACTACAAAAAAAAATATTTTAAAATGCTAAATTAATTACCAAAAAATATGCTATATACTTTCATTTCAATTAACAAAATGCATGAAAATTTCTTATTTTGAGGTCTCATTTACTTTTTTATGAAAAGTTAATCTCAATTGATTTTTATTGATTATGAAAACTAGAACTCTTTTGCTATCTATCTATATATTATCTAAGCTACAATGAAAATTCAGAAAAAGAAGAATAAATATCGATCTATATGCATGTAATAGCCAATCAAATTTCAAGAATTTTATATAGAACATTCTAGAACGCGTTTCCTTATTTGGTAAATTCCCTGACTATATTTGTATATCCAAAGATAAAAGTTTCTAATATAAGGCGAATGCTTTTAATAAATTAGTCTAAGATCTACATATAATTGTAGTTTAACGCAGATCTGAAACAGTTCAACATTGATAAGACAAATTTGTTTTAATGAATTAGAGTCATCTTTCTAATGAACTGACATATAGATTATAAATATGTTAGATTCACTACTCTATGTAATATAATGATGAGGGACAAAACCCCTTAATAACAGTCAAAACTTAGACGAAACTATATTAAAATCATAATAAGGGATATGACGAAACCCTTTCGATACTGTTAATGTAAAATTCTTGTGAACTACAACTGTTAGACGGGGTGTTCGAGCGGTTTATTCTTTTTAATTGAGCAGTAATCTTTCAACAATTAACAAGGTTTATTCAGGCTGTTTATCAAAGTATTTATACTATTTCGTCAAGCAGTAATTCAACAGATTGTCAATGATTTGTATTTATAAAATAATGTATTTATTCACGAGTAAGATAATAGAAATAAAAGAAAAGAGATAGAAGAAAATAAGAAAATAAAATAAGAAAAGAAAAGAAACAAATTACTAAAACTAGAATGTAACGCGGTAGGCCAGTTGCCTTTAAAACTACTAAAACTAACTTGTCGAGTTCCTATCTGTCTCTCCTTTTACATGAACAAAAAGCATGATGGAAGTTTGTTTTAATTGATAAATATTCGTGATCTACATGATAATGTTACACCAAATAAAACCAATCAAAATTCTAAATTTTAATCACGTGCATATTAAATGATTAGCTAGATATGATACTAATGATACTAAATAGTAACGAAAAGTGTAACGAAGTGCATTATACATTAAAAGAACATGTATACATGATATATACATGGTAAATACTAGTAGTAAAGTTAACGCGTTTGTGTAATAAAATGATTTTGTATTTAGTTTTTATTTTAAAAAATTGATCTGTATTATATCTTTTAAAGGATAACACGAAAAGTTTAATAAAAAAATATTTTTTTACTGAAAACTAATTTTAAAAACTTTATATGTAATGACCTGAAAAAATCTTGACCCTTGTTCTATTTATAATTGTTAAATAGAATCAGATCAATATCGTGGAATTACAAATAATGCATTAAAAAAAGCAAAAGAAAAAGGCATCTTTTATCAATATAATTATTTAGAAGTTGGAAAGCAATTATGTTATTTTCATTATCTTAATATTATTAAGCCTAATCACAATAAATTATCAGCTAATCGTATGCGAAATACTAATATACAAAATAATGTAGTTGTTAATAATATAAAACCATTATCATTTGGTGACAAGATTGTGTTAATGACTAAAATATTATATGACAAACAGAGAAAAGAAAATCAAATACTTGAATTGGATCCAAATCGTTTTCAAACATTGCTTGAAAATGCTGAACCATTATTGAAAAGATTTTTTAATGAATTATATAATTCATTTATTCTAGAAAGAAGGTCTGCTTATAATAAAAAAGAGGATAAAAAAAGGTAGTTAATATATGCTATTCAATAGCAGCAATATGTAATAAATTTGTAAACCATTATCCTTTGGAAATCGGACTCTATCTTGTAGCATCAGGTGCATCATGTGATGCAATCAATACAATGCATAATGCTGACATTTCTGTTTATTACAAAACTGTTGAAAACTATAAAAAAAAGATAGCTAATGCACATTCAAAAAATATTCGAAAGTATTTTGCTAAAAAGATAAGCATTTTGAATACAATTTTCAATTAGAATTAAACTAACACTTTTGACCATTAGAATAATAGCTTTTTTGTATATAATCTTGATGATTATTATAACATACATGGAATAAAATGCCCTGATACTGTATTCCTCTCAACCGTGGCCCATTTTGCAACATGTATTAGCAAAGAAATTTCAAACTGTACTCCAATTCTAATAAATTACAATAGCAACTCAGTTCATAATCCTACCAATATAGATGCATTCTTGATTTGTTAGCATTTAATTACACAATATCACAGAATTTTTGATCTATTATATACACAAAGAAAAAATCAGTAGACTATTTCACAAAGCGTAAAGCTCACTAATTTTGATCAAATTGATCTTCTAACAGTTCATTGTTATGATAATGCTATAAAAAAAAATACAAAAGAAAGAAATATGGAAGAAGTACGATTAATTGGAATTAAAGAGTCTCAACTTCATTCATTAAATGATTATCTAAATACATTAGAGATGATTCTTTCAATAAATAAAGATATTGGACGCATAAATGATTATGTAATGCCAGTCATTGCTGATTGGCCTGGACAACTTTTCATACGAAAAACATTAACTTCTCTACATCAACAAAATACAACATCACAAATACCAGCATCTATTGATGTCTTTATACCTATATTAGGTCCTCTCCATATTTCATTAAACAGTCGGAAGCAAGTTTTAATAATTTATTATTCTTTTTTTAAAAAACTTTTTCATGCAGTTTTTGGAAGCCGAAAAATTCTTGCAAAGAAACCAAAACCATAGAGAATCAATCTTCTTCTTGAACTTACTTACCAAGGATGGTTAAAGATAAAAGTAAAGATACTAGAAAAATTTGGATCTACATGTAAAGATGTAGAATACAGAATGTTGATTGATCTTCTGGACAATGTAATTCCAGCAACACTAGATGTATATATAATTCTTTTTCGTTCAGGTTCTTTTGATGAATACATTGAAAGTGTTTTTCGAATATGGACTTTTACATTACGCTGGAATCATAAAAACTACAACAAGGCCCCTTTAGCATTCTTGTCAGATATTTTTTATTGGTAAGATAAAAAGCATCCAATATTAGATGTAATCAAAATGTTTCTTGTAAATTTCAATGATTATTTTGTTGAAAATTTACATAGTCAAATATGAGCAAATACATTATCCAGTGATAGTGTCGAAGCTATTATTAAACAGACTTGTATTCTAGGTATGTATAAAATATAATTATGTTTATTTAAAAATAATATTAACCAAGTTTAAAAAAAAATAGATGCAAACAAGCAATCACTGTTTAAAAAAACATTTCATACAAAAAAAAGATACCCATATACACCCTCTACTCTAGAATATTTGATAAATAGAACATCATTATTTTTGCTAGATTATTTTTGTCAGTTATTCCAACATATTAAATGTACATCTATTAAGACAACCACTAGTGATAAAAGGTAAGGAAGAAAGAAAAGAAATAATTTAAAATATAAACTTGCCATTTTAAATGAAGAAGTTGATGTCATGTGCTTATCAACAGTTTATAGTACAGGAGTTCCTCCCTTATCAGAACTTTGCGATGATTGCTACAAGAAATTGGATGATGATGGTGGTGGTACCATATTAATTTGTGGTCATGGTTTTCATTGGCATTGCTATAGTCGAATGGAATATGGATGTCAATACTGTGAACAATATTATAAAAATGGAATAAATAAGAATGTTAATTTATTTTTACAAAGACTTGAAAAAGGAGCTGATACATTTTCCGAAAATGATGGATTTGAAGAAGAACCACAAAATTTAGAAGAAGATACAGAAAAGCATGAAAATATTCAAGAAAGAGATATAAATTTACAAAATGTATTAGAGGATATAGATAAATGGTAACGAAATAAAGATATCATATAAATACTAAATTTGAAATAACTAATATAACGTTTATATTATTTTCACAATTTACACATAAGTGAGCTACCTTTAAACACTTGATCTTACTTGATCTGAAAGTTTTAAGCAGTCCATTAAAGCATGAAGAATACGCTATTAAAAAAATTTTCTTTTGTTACATGAAAGTTGTATCATATTACCATTACCGTTTACCGTTACTTTCATATGACTATACTATATATTGACCAATCATATTCAATCTGATCATAAAATAAAACAGCCAATAAAAATGAATTTCTATCATGCTTGAACAAAAAGGCTACCTATTTATATAAAATAAATTATATAGATGAATATAACTAACATGTCTAATATATCAACTATATTTAATATATCAACTATGTCTAATATGTCAGCTATGCCACATATGTCTGACATATCATATATATTACTTATGTCAAATCAGTCGATCTTCTGTGCCACATTTACCCGTTCACATTACTTTCCGTTTAAGATTTCTGCTCCTGCAGAAATATCAAGAGTTTCCAATACAAGAGCTTGATATTCATTAGACTTTATCGTCGAATCATAGTTAAGGTCAGTCGTCGTGTATCAAAGATTCATTAGACTCCTATATTTTCAAAGAGATGATAAACTTGAATAGCAGTTCGGTAATAATGTTTAGTTATCATTGCCATTTGTACTGTTCGTTGGGCCAGTGAAATAGTCACATCATTAATAAGTTGACCTAAATAAAAAGCATTAACGAGAGATAGAATATAGTTTTTCATACGGGTAGAACGAAGGAAAGTTTGATAAGTGGACTGCACTTTTTGAGCCAAGGATGCGTCAGTCCGATATGAAGGTTCCATTGGTCGAATTTCTTCTTCAAAAATGGCTGTAGAAATCTGAAGTTCTTTTAAAATTATTTCAAAATTCGTAAATTCTATTATAGTTTTATTCGTTTGAATAAAATAACGGTGACAAAGGTTCTTTTTATAATGTCTTAGTGCCGATTATTATTCAATAATAATCTGAGGTTCCCATTCAGTTCGTTCCAGATATGGCTTCAAAAGATCAGCATGTATAGGATTCTTTCTAACTCGTCTATCTAGTGTATGAAGTTTATAAGTGCCAGGTCTTACAATGTCGTGAATGTAAAAAGGTCCATTGAATTTGTCTTTAAATTTGTCTCTGTGAATGTATGACTGTGTGACATTAAATAATAAAACTTTATCTCCAATTTGATAAGAAATTCCAGGTTGATCCTTATTGTAACGTTCTTGTTGCTTTTGTTGTCGTTGCATAATATTCTGTTGTGCATCTAATCGTCATTGTTGCAATTGCGATGAGATTATCTGTTGATGCTGTTCCATGGCATTCAATAGGTTCGTTATAGGTGAAGGTTGTCATAATTGTAAATCTATAGGTAAAACTGCTTTTTGTCTATATAATAACTCAAACAGTTCGAATTTAGTTGTTCCTTACTGAGCAGTTCAGTATGCGAATAATGCGGATGTCAAATAAGTATCCCATTCTCCATGATGTTACTCAGCGTACTTGGCTAAAATTGTACACAAAGTCTGATTAAAGCGTTCAGTAAGGCCATTGGTCTGTGGGTGATATAGTGAAGATAATCTATGTTTAGTTCCTACTACATGTAACAAAGCAGTGACTAATTCATTTTGGAATAACGTTGCTCAATCAGTTAATATTTCTTTTAGTATTCCATGTCGACATATGATTTCATCGTAAATAAACTATGCAGTAGTTTGGGCAGTGCAATCTGGTGTGACACTAGCTTCAACCCATTTTGTCAGATATTCAGTTGCGATAATAATATACCTATTTCCTTTTGTTGTACGTGGAAGCGATCCTACGTAATCTATCCCAATACGGTCGAATGGTTGTCCAACAGGTATAGAGTGCAATGGTTCTTTGAGTTTTGGACTGCCTTGTCGCTGGTATATATCACATGTTCGTATCCAATTATCAATTGTTTTGTACATACTAGGTCAGTAATATCGAGAGGCAATTTTGTTGTAGGTAATGTCTCGTGCTAAATGTCCTCCTAAAGGTTCATTGTGAATATT